ACCAATACACTATGCAACTCGATATTATGTCTCTATACAACAAAATTAAGATTATTTTGCCTGATTTTATTTCAAACTACAGCCATCTGAAAGAGGTCTTAAAATCATTAATTTCTTAAGAATCATCTGTGTATTCTTTTATGAAACAGTGACATTACAACAACACTTTATGGCCCACCTCCCAGCAAGCCACAACATGAACCCATCCGGCAAAACATCTGCCCTGAATTCCCAAGTTTACCCAGCATCGGGTCTAGGAGAGAAGACGGGATTTTTAACTTGTGCCATTCTGTATGTTAACAGTTTATTTACCCCTCTGGATCTCAGTTATTTATTTTTACACGCATTTTTCTCCTTTAACCTGGTGACAGCCATGTGAAATACCACAGGCCTTTTACTCAGTATTTCTCTAACAAGTCAACCAGGCATAAACAGGGTTTTTATGTCCATTTGTAAATTTTAGTGAGGGGCGGTTGGGCTGAAAGACAAAATAAAAAGACAAGTACTACATTCGTATAATGTTTAATTCACATCACTTGCCCAATACTGTGCTGTTGGCCTATGTTTCAATAAATAGGCTTCAAAACGAAATTATTGCGGTGTAAAAATAGTTTCCCTGAAATCACATGCGTTTTACTATTCCCAGGTCTCAAAATAGCTTTTAAAATTATTTTTTTCAGACTCCTAGAGCCATGCACCCATATTATGATGGATATGTTTTTCTGCCCTCCTCCCTAGAGTGAAGTTGGAAAGAAGAGAAATTGAGACAGCTCGGCACCACACTAAACTGAAAGAGACCAAGCTGAGATTGACTTTTGCTGCCAGAGAGAAAGGAACATGAGAAAATAAAGGGTCAAAAAAAGACTGAGCAATTCAGCCTTAGAATGAAGGCCGTAAATAAATTAACAAGCCTACCTTATTCACCTAATTAACAACAAAATACCTAAGTGCTTACCATTTTAAGCACTATTCTAGGTGCTAGACTGTTTAAGAGTAACTGATGCTTGCAGGAGAGCTGCTATGTGGAGATATCTCCACGAATACCCCTTGACCATTCCTTTAAGAGGACTTCTCTAGAACCTTTTGTAACTTACATAACAAACAAAGCAGGCATATAAGAAGGAAAAAATCCTAACTAAAACATATATTCCACATTCCTATCGAAGCCCTTTTCCTCCAGGAGTATGTTGTAGTTTCAATGTTCTGGCTGTAGTGGAACTGTGGATGCAGTTGGGTAGCAGAGTACCTGTTTACTGTCTTAGCTTCTTTTCCTGTTGCTGTGACAAAATCCTCTCTGACAAAAACAACAAGAGAGACATAGATTCTGGCTCACAGTTCAAAGGTACATTCCACTGCCATCGAGGTAGGAGAGTCAAGTTGGCAGTAGGAGCTTGAAGCAGCTGATCACATTTACAGTTGAAAAGTAGACAGCAACACATTTACCTGGCTCCCTTTATACAGTCCAGAATCCCAGGGAATGGCACCACCCACAGTGGACAGGTCTTTCCAACTCAATAAATGCAACCAAGATACTATCCCATGGGTGTGCAGTGGCCCAGCTCCCAAGCAAGTCTAGATTCTGTCAATTTCAAACACTAACCATCACAACACCTAGTATGCAAGGCCCTAGACTTGCTCCTCAATGCCCTCCAAATATACACAATTACAGCAATACCAGTTGACTCTACCAAAACACATGACAAAAATGCTCATCTCTAAGACTTCACGAGCAACAGTGTGGATTCTGAAACAAAGGCTAAATAAAATATTCAAACTGACACTAAGCCCTAGAGTAAGTCTTCAATTCACTTGCTTCTTTAGGACACAGACGGTGTTGGTCAAATAGCTGAGTGCTCCATATGCAAGCATGAGAGCTTGAGTTCAAATCCTCAGTACCCACTTAAAAAGGTGACTACCTGAACACCTGTGGTGAGTCAGAGACAGGAGGACCACTGGGGACTACAGGCCACAGCCTAGATTCAGGTTCAGCAAAAGATCCTGTCTTGAAAGAGTATGCAGAAAGCAACAGGTCAGGATGCTGAGCATCCTACTGTGGCCTCCTAGTGCACACACCCATATACATACACCACACACTCACAGACCACACATACACAAAGGGGAACTAGAGAAAATATAAAGGACTACACCCTGACGTGCAGGAGCGTCCATAGTGAAAAAAAAATCCAGATAGTAAAGGTAGTACCTAACTCTAAGTTCACTTTTCATTTTAAAACCTTGTTGCAATTATTTTTAGAAGTGTTTGCATGGATTTTGACCTTCATGTATGTCTGTGCCTTTGGAAGTCAGAAGAGGGTATCAGGTACCCTAGAACTAGAGCCACGGGTGGTTCTGAGCCGCCATGTAGGTGCTGGCCATCAAAAACAAGTCCCCCACAAGAGTAGCAAGTGCTCTTAACCCTTGAGCCATCTCTTCAGCACTATTACAATGATTTTTAAATACTAAAGGAAGAAAACCCTATCAGAAAAAGTAAAACTATACATTCCCCAATTAATATTTGCTGATACCAAGATATGAATACTGTTTTTTTTCTAAAGAAAAAACTTGCTGGGCCGGGTGTTGGTGGTGCACACCTTTAATCCCAGAACTCAGGAGGCAGAGGCAGGTGGATCTCTACGAGTTCGAGACCAGCCTGGTCTACAAGGCCTAGTTCCAGGACAGTCTCCAAAGCCACAGAGAAACCCTGCCTCAAAAAACCAAAAAAAGAAAAAAACTTTCAAAGGATTTAATAACTGGCCAGAGATCTGATAGGAAACATTTTCTTTTGGTTTATAATTGCATTTTTGGGGGGGGGGAGTCAAATTGCTTCCACTTCTAGATGACTAATTCCAAGAACTAAAAACCCAGGGTTTAGGCTGGGCTGTGGTGGCATACACCTTTAATTCCAGTACTCAGGAGGCAGGTGAATCACTTAGTTGAGGTCAAAGTTTTAGGACAGCCAGGGATACATACACCCCTACCAATGTTTAAAACTGGTACAATGACACGTGACTTTTAATCCTAGCACCCAGGAGGCAGAGATTAGAGATCCGGATTTGAAGTCAATCTCCTCTACATGAGTTTCAGGCCAGGTACATCATGGCCATCTCAAGAAAAAAAAAAAGACAATGCAATTAAGCCACACAAATAAATTTTAAACAAAAAATGTCCTATTAGTTTAATTCTAATTGGCAATCATTAATAAAATTTAACATGTAAAATCCTAATGGACTAGAAATCACAAATGAATTGAAACCAACATTATAGGAATTAGAACATCCCAGTACTTGTCCTCTTTTATGCCCATGTTGGAGACAGACCCGAAGGCCTTGTGCATGGAAGGCAAGCACTCATTCCTAAAAGCCCCCAGCCTTTTTTTTTTTTTTCTTTTGCAACAGGGGTTCTGTATGTAACAGCTAGTGTGGAACTAGCTCTGTAGACCATGCTGGTCTCAGAACTCAAGAGATCCACCTGCCTCTACCTCCTGAATACTAGGATTACTGGCATAAGCCACCACCACCCGGCAAGGATTTTGTTTTCTAGAGTATTTTCCTCTCATCCTACGGTTGAATTTCCTGGTCTCCAAAGGCACAGTCTTCCTAGGAAGAATAATCATTAATGCCGTTTACCCTATCCTTTTTTACATCTGGCACCAGCCTTAGGCTGCCCTCTGCTGGCTGTAATTTCAAACCAGTGGTATTTTATACAAGAGACAAGCACCCACAACCACAACCTCAAACACATTTTCCCCAAAAATGGGGGCGGGGGTTGTGTGACAGAAATGGTTTATCAGGTTAAGGTGCTTACTGCCAAGTCCGAGTTTGATTCCCAAATCCCACAGATCACAATCTTTCAACCACACTGCCACACACAACCTAAGAACTTGTCAAAACAAAATTTTTCAGCCAGGTTTGTTAGCCCATTTGTAATCCCAGCTCTTGGAAGGTAGAAAGAACAAGATTGTTGCTTCAGATCCCAGTCTGGATTACATACAATCCCTCATCAAATGTTTTCACAAAACATTTTCATGCCATCCAAGAACCTTTTAAATATTGCCAAATTGGGGGAAAAAAAAAAAACAGCATTTTGATTAAAGCCAAATAGAAAAACAGCCACTTAACTCAAGATTTTCCAACCTCTTCTGACAAGCCTTTTCCTACCTTCAAAATGCTACACCCCCCCCACCACCCGGACCTGTATGGCAGGACACCATGACTTGCAGGCCAGCCAAAACATTGCTTATTGTTCAGCCTCCAGCTAGCAGTACTAATAGCTGTGGTATTTTCATTGGTAGCTGGTCTGAAGACCTAAGTGATCTTTCTTCCCCTTAATATTAAAGCCTCATAGATGCACAAGGCCAGAATAAAATGCTTGCCTGACACATTAAAACCAAGCCACGATGAAAGCTTGCCACTGTCAAATGCTGAAGACCAAACAAGCCTCACACTGTTACATGTTTCTAAATCTCCCCAAACATTTGCAGTGCAACTTCAAGGGCACCAGAAAAAGGGATGTACACTAAAACCAGGTGACTTTCATAGATCAGGGACCTAAACTGACGAAAATGGGGGGGCCTTAGCCCACCCCAAGTCTAAACTCTTTAACTGACCCTTTCTCTCCTCTAATCCCTTTTCCCATGCTCCATCCCATCTCAATTTGACCCTTTTATGCCAAATACTATCTTCAATCTTAGAAGTCAGTAAACTCTACAGCTTTAGGCTGGGAACCTACTCTCACTGGAATTGAAGTCATTATATAGTCTTGGCCCCAAGACTTCCCAGGTCACTAAGCCTGTGAACTCCACTGATGAAACTCCAATGTCCTGGACACTGTCCACCAGAAACACCATGGCAGAACTGTGTTATGTATTTCCCAATCCTAGTTATGGTCTTTCATCAAACTAAGACCAGAGATAGCATGCTTCCAATATGCTAACAACCATCTGCAAACAGGGACACCCCATTTTACAGCAGCAAACAAACAAACAAAAAAAAAACAAGAAAAATGAGCCAAAATTTTTATTTATTCATTTCTTGCACTTGAAGTACTCTTCGATGACATCCTTGGCCTGAGATTCTTTGCCATAGTCCTTAAAAAAATCAGATGCAAATTACTTATTCAGTATTAAAGTTCTTTAATTATTACTAATTCAGACCTAAGTACTTCCCAGCAATACAATACTGTAGCCATTTTCAGGGACCTTAAAGACTTCAGCTGTCCTTAAGGCTCGTAACATGGCATCACTATTGCCAGCCTTTCCTAAATTTCTGCAGAAGCACATTTGAGATAAGCAGATTATTTGGCTGGCTCAAATTACGGCTTACATTTAAGAACAATTCGTTATCCTGCTAAGACATTTTCTCCCATTAAACATTAAAAAAAAAGACAGACCTACCTTAACCACTACACAACTGCAGCCAACCACTTTCCGTGGCTTCCCCTCTCGATCAATTTTACAGAGGCCTACCCATTCCCCTAGTTTCTTGTTGTCATCAACCTGCACAAAAACAAAAACCATTATTAGCAGGGGTAGAAGCTACTGAAAACTAGACATTAAATCCCAAAGGTGGCTGTGTCAGAAGGGTGACATGGCATTTTCCTCATGACTGTTCAGTAGAGGGAGCCAGTTGTCATCATATACAGCTCACCATTTGTCAAACACCCCTTTGCTCATAGTATCAAAACTACCATGGAGCTCTGGATGTACAAGTTTTAAGCATCAAGGTCGAGGTACCATTTATCCCAACCTACTTACCTTAATTAGATTGATCTGGTGTTCAGCACAAAGGGCCTCCACCAACTTGACATACATGGGCTCATCACAATTGGATGCGAGCACACAGAGATGGGCTTGGCGCCTAAGACGCAAAATTCATTGGTGAAACCACAACTTTACGGTGTAAGTTTTGGGTCAAGGCATCTTCACTAACTATACTAGTTACCAGTAATACCTTACAGCACAGCTATGTGTACCAAACTGCTTAAAGTCCGTAACTACTGGAGTTTATTTTCAGCCAATTTAACTATCCCTCAGATACCAATATTTCTTAGAAAGTTATTTATGAACTAAGGAAACCCACAACCACTTCATGGTTTCATTTTGTTAGACCTCAAAAGGTTTCACAAACCTTATTTCAAGCCACTATCCTACAGCAAGCATCGCACGAGATTCACAGGTGACCTCCACCTGGACCCAAGTGCCAATTGACACCAATAAATTCAAGTTAAAATTTCCCTCATCACAAGCACGAAGGGTTCCCAGTATGCATGCATAACCTTAGTGGCTGAATAGACCCACGTGTTCTTAAGTACCATTCAATGTTCATTTCTCAGATGCTACCACATCGCTATTGGACTTAACACACTAATTAGCAAAGTAATTAATGAGGTTTCCCTTTGTCCTTTGGCACAACTGGCTACTCCCAGGAACCACAGGTTTGTCAGACTATTTCGTCTCACCCATGAGGCGGGTGTAGGGGTATCCGACAATCCAAGTCATCATTCAAACACTGCAGTCTCACCAACGCCACTAGTGCTCACACCCAGAACGCACGGCAACCCACGCGTCTTATGTGGGTTAGAGAGCTCCGAGTTGATACCTTTTCCTAGGTTTCCTGCTGAACGGCTGCCACTCAGAACTTTTGTGCTAACAGCATGAACTTCACGCCTCCTTCCCTCTCCGGCTGCAGCAACCCACAGCACTGAGACCGAGACACGTACTTGTCTAGGGCTTTGGCGGCCTCGCGGATGCCGCGCGCCAGGCCATCGTGGATGAGGGCGGTCTTCAGCACCTCCTGAAGCGCGGTGTTGACGTCCATTACACCTCCAGCAGCAATGCTGAAATGCAGTCAGACCC